TTTTTTCCTCAGTTCTTTCAGCTTGAGAAATGCTGAGCATCTTCTTCCCTTTTTTCTAACTCCAGGTCTTTGCACATTTTATTATAGTAATTGACTTTGTCTTCTCGAGCTGCTTTTTGAAATCTTCTATTCAATTCTTTTATCTTGTCATTTCTTCCATTTGCTTTAGCTACTCGCCATTCAAGAGCAAATTTCAGTGTCTTCTGACATCCATTTTGGTCTTTTCTTTATTTCCTGTCTTTTTAATGACCTTTTGCTTTCTACATGGATGATGTTCTTGATGTTATTCTACACAATTCATCTGGTTTTTGGTCATTGACGTGCAATGCCTCAAATCTACTCTTTAGATGGTCTCTAAATTCATGAAGGACATAATCAAGGTAATATTTTGGCCCTTGTGGACTTGTTTTAATTGTCTTCAGCTTCAACTTGAACTTGCATATGAGCAGTTGATGGTCTGTTCTACAGTCAGCTCTTGGCCTTGCTTTTGCTGTAGATATTGAGCTTCTCCATTGCCTCTTTCCACAGATGCAGTCAATCTGATTCCTGTGTATTCCATCTGATGAAGTCCATGTGTATAGCCACCATTTATGTTGTTGAAAAAAAGGATTTGCAATGAATAAGTCATTGATCTTGCCAAATTCTATCATGTGATCTCCAGTGTCATTTCTGTCTCCAAGGCCATATTTTCCAACTACTGGTGATTCTTCTTCGTTTCCAACTTTTGCATTCCAATCACCAGTAATAATCAACATATCTTGATGCATGTTTGGTCAATTTCAGACTGCAGAAGTTGGTAAAATTCTTGAATTTCCTTGTCTTTGGCTTTGGTGATTGGTGTGTAAATTTGAATAATAGTAATGTTCACTGATCTTCCTTGTAAGTGTATGGGTATTATCCTATCACTGACAGTATTGTACTCAAGGATAGATCTTGAAATATTCTTTGTGACAATGAATGCCACACCATTCCTCTTCAATCTGTCGTTCCTGGCATAGTAGATCATATGATTGCCTGATTCAAAATGGCCAAAACTAGTCCATTTCAACTTCCTAATGCCTAGGATATCGATCTTTATGTGTTCATTTCATTTTGGACAACTTCCAATTTTCCTAGATTCATGCATCGTACATTCCATGTTCCGATTATTAATAGATGTTTGCAGCTGTTTCTTCCTATTTTGAGTTGTGCTGCATCAGCAAATGGAGATCTAAAAAGCTTTACTCCATCCACGTCATTAAGATTGACTCTATTTTGAGGAGGCATCCCTTCCCCAGTCATATTTTGTGTGCCTTCCAACCTGAGGGGCTCATCTTCCAGCACTATATTTGACAAAGTTTCAGGGCTATTCACAAAATTTTCCAGTACTATATCAGGCAGTGTCTCACTGCTATTCATAAGGTTTTCATTGGCCAATTCTTTGAGAAGTGAATGGCTCCTTCCTTCTTCCAAGTCTGTCTTAGTCTGGAAGCTCCACTGAAACCTGTCCACCATGGGTGACTCAGCTGGTATTTGAAATACTGGTGGCATAGCCTCCAGCCTCACAGCAACACATAAGCCACCACAGTATGACAAACTGACAGATGAGTGGCGAGTTTTCTTTATGTTGAGGTATAATTCATACTGAAGACTGTAGTCTTTGATCTTCATCAGTAAGTCCTTCAAGTTATCTTCACTTTTAGCAAGTCAAGTTCTGTTGTCTGCATATTGCAGGTTGTTAATGAGTCTTCTTCTAATCCTGATGCTGTGTTCTTCTTTATATAGTCCCCCTTCTCGAATTATTTGCTTAACATACAGATTGAAAAGTATGGTGAAAGGACCCAACTCTGATGCACTCCCTTCCTGATTTTTAAGCATGCAGAATCCCCTTGGTCTGTTCAAATGACACCTCTTGGTCTATGTACAGGTTCCTCATGAACACAATTAAATATTCTGGAATTCTCACTCTTCCCAATGTCATCCACAATTTGTTATGATCCACACATTTGAATGCCTTGTATAGTCAACAAAACACAGGTAAATATCTTTCCAGTATTCTTTACTTTCAGCCAAGATCCATCTGACATCAGCAATAATATTTCTCATTCCATGTCCTCTTCTGAATCCAGCTTGAGTTTCTGGAAGTTCTGTCAATATACTGCTGCAACCATTTTTGAATTATCTTCAAGAAGATTTTATTGCCTGTGATAGTAATGATATTGCTAAAAAATTTCCACATTCTGTTGGATCACCTTTCTTTGGGATGGGCACAAATATGGGTCTCTCCCAGTCAGTTGGCCAAATTTCTTGGCATAAAGGAGTAAGTACCTCCAGTGCTGCATCCATTTATTGAAACATCTCAATGGGTATTCCATCAATTCCTGGAGTTTTTGTTTTTCCTCCCAACTCTGTCAATGTAGCTTGGACTTCTTCCTTCAATTCTGTTGGTTCTTGATCATATGGTACCTCCTGAAATTGTTCTTGGTAGTGTGATCTGTGCATCCCTTCTATTTTCTTTTGATACTTCTTGCATCATTCAATATTTTGTCCATTGAATCCTTCAATACTGCAACTCAAGGCTTGAATTTTTTTCTTCAATTCTTTCAGCTTCAGAAATGTGGAGCATGTTCTTCCCTTTTGGTTTTCCAACATCAGGTCTTGGTACATTTCGTTATAATACTTTGCTTTGTCTTCTTGAGCTACCCTTTGAAATCTTCTGTTTAGCTTTTTACTTCATCATTTCTGCCATTCACTTTCGCTATTCTCCATTCAGGAGCAATTTTCAGAGTCTCTTCTGACATCCATTTTGGTCTTTTCTTCCTCCTGTCCCTTCAATGATCTTTCACTTTCTTCATGTATGATGTTCTTGATGTCATACCACAACTCATCTGGTCTTTGGTCACTGGTGTTCAACTCATCAAATCTATTCTTCAGATAATTTCTAAATTCAGGTGGGATATAATCAAGGTCATGTTTTGACTCTTGTGAACTTATTTTAATTTTCTTCCATCTTAACTTAAATTTGCATGTGAGCAATTGATAGTCTCATCCACAATCTCCTCTTAGCTTTGTTCGGATTGATGATATTGAGCTTCTCCACTGTCTCTTTCTACAGATGTATTTGGTCCTGTGTATTATATCTGACGAGGTCCATGTCTATAGTGGCAATTTATGTTGTTTAAAAAAGGTATTTGCAATGAATATGTTGTTGGTAATGCAAATTCTGTCATGCAATCTCCATAGTCATTTTGTTCACCAAAGCCATATTTTCCAACTACTGGTGATTCTTCTTTGTTTCCAATCACCATTAATTATTAATACATCTTGGTTGATTGTTGGGTCAATTTCAGACTGCAGAAGTTGGTAAAAATCTTCAGTCTCTTCATCTTTGGCTTTAGTGGTTGGTGAGTAAATTTGAATGATAAAGTTGTGTTAACTGCTGCTCCTTGTAGGTGTATGGATATTACCCTATCACTGACACTATTGTACTTCAGGATAGATCTTAAATGTTCTTTTTGACAATTAATGTGATGTCATTCCTCTTCAGTTTGTCATTCCTAGCATAGTAGACCATATGACTGTCTGATTCAGAATGGCCAATGCCAGTTCTTTTCAGCTCACTAATGTCTAGGATATTAATCTTTATGCATTCTATTTCATTTTTGACAACATCCAATTTTCCTAGATTCATACTTTGTAAATTCCATGTTCTGATTATTAATGGATGTTTGCAGCTGTTTCTTCCCATTTTGATTCATGCCCTATCAGCAAATGAAGGTCCTGAAAGCTTTAGTCCATCCATGTCATTAAGGTTGACTCTGTTTTGAGAAGGCAGCTCTTCCCCAGTTGAGTGCCTTCCAACCTGAAAGGCTCATCTTCTGAGTATATCAGACATTGTTTCACTGCTATTCCTAAGGTTTTCAGTGGCCAATTTTTCAGAAGTGGGTAGCCCTATCTATCCTTCTTGCCAGTCTGTCTTAGTCCAGAAAGTCCACTGAAATCTGTCCATGATGGGTGACCCTGCTGATATTTGAAATACCAGTGGCATAGTTTCCAGCCTCACAACAACAATGCAAGCCAACACAATCCAACAAACTGACAAATGAGTGGTGGTATTATCACTTAGGATGAAGTTAACATTGGTTAGGCTTTAGTGAATTTAAAATAAAATATGAAACAGCCAATAGTGTGAGAGATAGGCAAATATAGTGAAGTGATTCACTGCTCTGAAATTTGCAAAACATTTACCTAGAATTTTCACCAGTAGAAACTGGTGTCCTCCTAGTTGGTGGAGTAACTTTCAATTTTTGCTATTTATTAAAATATCAGTAATACAGGTCAACTGTCCAGTCAATAAAATGGTACACGTTTCAACCGAACTAAAGAATGGAATTCCTCCTCCCTGCTTGCTTTTTTGTCTTTACAGAAATTTTTCCTCCAGGAGAGCCCTGCTTTATATGTCCAGGCATTAACAGACCCCAGCAAGGCATTGGTTTTGGAGGGAGCCACTTTATCATGGAGACAGACCTGTCCTGGGATTGTCAACGGAGCTTTGGAGTTGGAGAAGAATGGATACAACCCTGAAAGGATGACTGAGGCTCAACCACCTTTAGGTGGCTTCAGGCCAGAGGACAAAGGGGACAGTGTAGGCCCAGAGTTGCACAAGATAAATCTGGTGGTGTCAAAGGTATCTCTATTCATGCCATTATGGCAGGCTGGCTGCCAGACTTTTTGGGTCTATGCCTAGGAACTCAGCCTGTACCTTACTATTTCTTTGGTTAAAAACTGCCCTCTCCAAGATCTCCCTTTTAGAATACAAATTTTTCATGGAGTGCAGATATAGGAAATACTTCATACCAAAAAACCAAACTTACTGCCGTCGAGTTGGATCCAACTCGTAGTGACCTCTCCTTGGGTTTCTGAGGCAGTATCACTACGGAAATAGATTGCCCCATCTTCCTTCTGAAGAGTGACTGGTGAGTTAGAACCACTAGCCTTCTGGTTAGCAGTCAAATGCCTTAGGCACTATGCTACCAGAGCTCCCAAATACTTCATGTTGTCTTCGTTTTTGTTGTTATGTGCCATCGAGTCAGACCTGACTCATAGCAACCCCTCCTTGGGTTTCTGAGGCAGTATTACTATGGAAGTAGATTGCCTCATCTTCCTTCCAAGGAGTGTGGCTGGTGGGTTTGAATCACCAGCCTTCTGGTTAGCAGTCAAGTGCCTCAGGCACTATGCTATGCTAAATACTTCATAGTTCAGTAGTTCAGTGTAAATTAATTGATCACCTAAATTTTTTATTTTTTATAATAGACAAGACCCCAAAATAGTATGAGATTGCTCTGTACTGGTACTTGGAGAAACCAAGAACACCAAAAGGAAAGGTGGGAGACTAAGCTGACATTTATTTAGTTCCTGTTATGTGTCAGGCACTATCCTACATGTTTTGTTTTTCTGGATCCTCTTCTACTTAATTTTTCCAAAGGCTTAATCCCCTACTCTCTCCTTTTTCTCACCTCTCCTCTTACCTATTCATGCTCTTTCCTCTGGAAACATGGCATCCAGTCCCACACCTTTAAATTTCATCTCTCTGCTATTATCTTTAGCCTTGATGTCCTCTGAGCTCCAGACTCAACTACCTACCTATTTAACATTTCCACTTAACTGCCCACTAAGCATTTCAAATAAAACAAGGCCAAAAGAGAACTTTTGATTTCCACCCTCTCCAACTGGTTCCTGTAGTCTTCCCATTTCGGATGATGGCACCACACCATCCTTCCAGTGGGCAGGGACTAAGGAGTCAAACTTTGTTCCTTTCCTTTCCCTCCAATCCATCAGCAGGGTCTGTCAGCTCTGCTTCAATGTCTCTCCCAACCCCGCCACCTCTCGTCATACCCCTCCCTACTGCCCTAGCCCCAGCCATCATCATGCCATTCCTGGCTCCTCTGGGATCCTCCTTACTAGGGTCTTTGTTTCCCCTTTGCTTGCTTATCATTCACTATCCGTGCAATGGGCAGAGGGGTCTTTCTGAAACGCAAACTGATTTATCTCACTCCCCTGCTTAAACCCTTCAGTGGCTTCCCTGTAGGAAGCTGAGCTACTACCTACCTACACCTTTAACCTCGTCTGCCCCTCACTCCTTCCGCACCAGCTACACCAATCCTCTTGCAGCTCTTTGACCCCCAAGCTTATTCCTGCTTCAGGACCTTTGCATCTGCTATTCCCACAGTCTGGAACACTATTGCCCCAGAACTTCTTGTGCCTGGCTCCTTGTCATTCGAGTGCAATGACATCTGCTTAGAGAAACTTTCCCTGGCCACCCCATTTGAAATCATCTGAACCCTCAGCTTCCTGTCTTAGTAGCCTATTTCATTTTACTTACATCACTTACCACCATCTGAAATATCTTATTTATTTATTTATTATGATTTTATGGTCTGCCTTCTAGAATGTAAGCTCAATGAGAGTTGATTTCTTCACGACATAGAAGAAACTCAAATGGCTATTTGATAGATGAATGGATGAAAGAATGAATGCATGTATGAATTTTGTGTGTCTGGCTTCATTATCCTCATTTTTCATATGAAGAAATTGAGGCTTAGAGAGCCTAGCTGCCTAGGGTCATAAAGTAGAGTAGATGCTAATCTAGAATTCAGATTTCCTGCCCAACATGCTCACTCCTCCATAACTCCCTCTCCGCCACTTCCATGGGTTTTCCTGATGCTAAGCCTGTACCAAGGAGCTCTGGTAGCACAGTGACTAAGGCATCTGACTGCTAACCAGAAGGTTAGTGGTTCAAAACCACCAGCCACTCCACAGAAGCAAGACTGGGCAATCTACTTGCGTAAGGATTTGCCGCCTCAGAAACGCAATGTGGGTTGCTATTAGTAAAAATTGACTCGATGGCAGTGGGTTTAAGGCTGTACCATCCCAGGTCTTCAGACCAAACTCAAAGTTCCCCTTGAGTTTTGCTTTCTAAGGGGTCGTGGGGAAGGGTGGCTATTTTGTTGTGTTTGTCATTTTATATTCACATAATAGACCCACAGTGGGTAGATGGGAGGGTTGTGCTGTTCAAATGTCTTCTGTCCTCCTTGACTTTTCAGGGAATGATGTTAGGGATCTGCGGCAACACGGGGAGTGGCAAGAGCAGCCTATTGTCAGCCATCTTGGGAGAGGTAAGTGACACCTGACCATAATACATTCCTACTCATTGACAGTGCAGCTGTTCCGGATCTCAAGTTCCTCCAGAAAGGCTCATCATCACTTTCTTCCTCAGAGTGGTCTGAGCAAATAGGATTGTCATAAATTGGAAATGATTGTGCATGTCCCATGGGGAAGGTGGATTATAAATACACTACCTCCTCAGTGGCACGTTCTTCCCACCCTGAGGCAGCACTCTTGGTCAGAGTGTCTCCTGGAAGTCCATCTTCACTTGTTCTCTGTGCTTCCCTATGTTGCTTTGTAATCAGTTAGCTCTCAGGGTGATGATACAGGGTGTCTCAAAGTTTAATATGATAATAAAAGTAGTTTCATGAAGTCCAGCTCCTACCATTGTGGAGTGGGATGTGTGTCCTTGCGGGATGGCATCAGGAGTGAAATGTGGAAGGAGAAAGAAGCAAGGAGGGTGTGGGAGATGGGATGGGACAGTCGTACATCACCAGCAGTGGAAACTACCTATCTGCTGGGTGCCCATGCCTTAGAGATCTTGGTGGTAGATCTTGAACTTCCAATTCCATCATCTGTGAAAGTCCTGAGATCTGCTTTGCCTGTAGCCATACTGACATAGAACTCAGCCCATCCCATCTCCAGTTTTGACTCCACCCTTGAAAAAACAAATACACACACACAAAGTTCCCACAGAGCACTGTACACCTCATAGGGAACAACTGAAATGTGTACAATATCTGGTACACATTTATGGCTACCTCCTATAGGAGGGGTTCCCTGAGTGGTACAAATAGTTATATACTGGACTACTAATGAAAAGGTTGGTGATTCAAACCCAACCAGGGGTACCTTGGAAGTAAGCCCTGGTTATCTGCTTCTAAAAGGTCACAGCCTTGGAAACCCTATGGAGCAGTTCTACTCTGCGCACATGGGGTTGCCATGAGTCCCAATGGACTCAAAGACAACTAACAACAACAAAAACCCCACAGAAGTTTCTCACCAGCCTTTCCTTGCTCAGTCCCCAGCCTCACCCCCACCTGTGGCTTCTCTCACTGCCCTTCCCTTCCTTGTCCATCACCCCTCCCTCCCGTATTGTCCAGAGAACAGGTTTCTTTCCTTTACTTAGCACTGCCTTCAGCTCTTTCTCCCAAAAGTATGTAGCCAAACTCATTAAGGCATCTTGCCCCTAGAGTGGCCTTTGGTTCAATAGGCTCCACCCCCATGGAATGCAGTCAGGTTATAAAGAGCAATTCTCCCCTAATACAATCTGACAGGTCATCTCTCTGTGATTCACATGCGATGTACTTTCCCCAGCTTCTTTGGAACTGGGGAGAGGAAAGGCTCCATTTTCTTATAATAGTAAAAATAGTCTAAGCACTATGTGCTAGGCCCTGTGCTAAGCTTTCCATTTCTTTCTTTCTTTCTTTTTTGTTTGTAAATAAACTTTTTAAGCTTTCAATTTCTGCCTTCAACTTCATAAAACCTGATGAGGAAGGTTCATGCACTGTGGTCAGTTTACAGATGGTAGCCTAGTGCATAAGGCATTTGACTGCTAACCAGAAGGCTGGTGGTTCAAACCCAGCAGCCACTCCTCAGAAGAAAGGTTGGGCTATCTACTTCCGTAGTGATACTGCCTTGGAAACCCAAGGAGGGTCGCTATGAGTTGGGTCTGACTCGACAGCACATAACAACAACAACAACAACATTCTACCTGGCCAGCAGTTTGTAAATTTCTTCTTCAAATGAACCAGTGTTTTTCCTTCTTATGAAGGGGAAAATATCATTTTAAAGCTTTGTTCTTTATAAAGAAAGCCTGACTGCAAATCAAAAGTAAAAACACAACATTAGGAAGAGGGGAAAAAAAAAAAAAAAAGACATGGAAAATTGTTCCTATGCTGGTGTGGTATAAATGGGAGTTATATTCTTCTTCTTATTATTATTTTTAATGTATAGTTTAAACTTACCATAGAGAAGAAGAAAGAATACTCCTATGAAAACTCATATACCCACCACATAGATTCACTTGTTGATAGCATTTTTTCATATCTGCCTTATCTATGTAAATATATATTTTGTAGGATTCTTAAATTACAGAGATTATAATACTTTCAGGAGCTCTGGTGGCATAGTGCCTAAGGCATTTGACTGCTAACTAGAAGGGTGGCGGTTCAAACCCACCAGCCACTCCTTGCAAGGAAGGTTGGGCAGTCTATTTCCGTAGTGATACTGCCTCCGAAACACAAGGAGGGGTCGCCATGAGTCAGATTTGACTCAATGGCAGTGAGTTTCTTTCTTTTTTTTTAAATAATACTCTCTGTGCTAAATACGTCATTCTGAAACCCAAAAATCAGGACATTTTTCTGTCTCATCATAAAACCGTTATCACACCTAGCAAAGGTAATAATGGCTCCCTAATGCCCAGGCCGAGCAGGAAGTGGCCTGGCTTAGCTCTGGCTGCTTTCACATGTTCTCATGGCTGCTGCCTCAGACTCACTGCTGAGCCTGGCATTGTGATGGCGGTGTTGCTAGCTGCCATGGAGTTGACTCTGAGTCATGGCAACCCCATGTGACCCCAGGAGGGTGATGTTCAAAGATCCCAAGTATCCCAGAGGACAGTGGGTGGGCCCTTGTGGCAGCTGAGGCAGGCGGGTTGGCCCTGGCGCATCCTGGTTCTGAGGCTGGCTCATTTTGCTGCAGATGCACTTGCTCGAGGGCTCGGTGGGGGTGCACGGAAGCCTGGCCTATGTGCCACAGCAGGCCTGGATCATTGAGGGTAGCATCAGGGAGAACATCCTCATGGGAGGCCAGTATGACAAGGCCCGGTAAGCCTCTGGGAGGGACTGGGAGGGACAATGGGGTGTGTGGTGGTTAAGGGAGGCCATCCCAGCTGCCAAGTAGTAATTTGACAGTTTCTCACATTTGCTATGTCCTCACTTACATACATCATCATACTTTTCACCATGGAAGAAGAATTATGAACATTCCCATTTTCCAGATGAGTCAACTGAAGCTCTGAGAGGTTCAACAATTTGTCCAAAGTCACACAGCCAGGAGGACACAGTAGAGTCAGGATTTGAACTCAGACACCTAATTATATGCAATATTGGTTCAAAATAGCCAGTATATCCTCTCTCCAGAAAAGTCACTTTTAAGCTTCATCTGTATTAATTTAACCCTGGCCCCTAAGTTAAAAGTTAGAACAAATGGAGCGATGAGGTCATGTAATGTAGAGGAAGTGAGTTTGGGTTCATGGCCTCCCACCTCCCATTCGGATCCTTCCTTTTCCCTTGCAGTCTCTCCCTGCCCAGGGTCCTCTGGTTGACTGACTAGAAATACGCATTTGGAAGTCATGAGTGAAGTCTATTCAGTGGAGGATCCAGAAAATTCTGCCTTGAAAGTTCCTGCTATGCTTCTAACTCTGGTGGACTTTGACTGACTTTGACCATTTGCTTGATTTTGCAATCTGTCCTCGTGGCCTAGATATGTAGGCATGTACACTGGCTATCTCCATCTGGTGTCCTGTGGCCACCTCCATCTGGATGTTCTGTGGGCACTCTGACTTATACTTCCTTTGCCAGTGGGAACCTCAGCTTACCTCAACCATGGCCCCACAGGGACAATATGATTTCTGACTGCTGCATTTTCCTGATTATGCACATCTACAGCCACCTTTAATCCTCTAAGACCCCTCATAAGAAAAAAAAGTAGTATTGTTATTCCTAGTTTGTAATCTAGTAATAGTGATATCTGTTGTGTTCATCTGGCTACCTGTACCAACTCACCAGGTCCCTGCTTGTCCAACCCCAAGCCCAACTGCTCATCATCTGAATTGTTCAAATAGTGAAATGCCTTCACCCAAACTGTGCACCCCAGTTAGCCTGGATGCCTCCTCCTCTGGATAAGTCTTCTCCTAGGAATCTCTTGTATTTCTCTCTTCTCCAGTTAAGATTTCTGTTCTCTCTTGCTTGACTTGTTTCCACTGTCCCTTCCTTTGACTCACTGCCTCCAGTGTTTTCTGGCTCTGTTCCCAAACTCAACCCTCATGGTGTCATTGCTCTGCTTTCAGACTAGTACAACTCAGAGAGCAGTTTTGAAATATCTGTCAAATATATACTAACTCTTTGATGCAGCAAATCTCCTGCTGGGTATTTAATCTCTAGGTATCCTCATCCATGAACATAAAGGTTCATAGACATGAATGTCCACACTGCATGGTTCATAGTAGCAAAAGACTAGAGACACCTCAAATGTCCATCAGTAGATCACTGGTTAAAAATTTCATGGTGCAGCCATATAATGGAATACTATGGTGCCATGAGAACAATATAAACCTATATGTACTATACACAAGCACATGTGCAGATTTCTGAATACATACTTAAGAAACTAATAGTGGCAGAGTAAGCGAGGGTCAAAGATAGCAGGGAGATTTACTTTTCACTGTTATCTTTTTTTCTGTTGAAATATTTATTAAGTACATGTATTATTTTAAAAGAAATGAAAGAAAAAATAAGCATATTCCATAAAAAAGCAGGGGCTGTATGTTAAAGCTTAAGAGCTTGTCACAGAAATGAGGTATGACAGTGGGCAAGAAGAATCTTGCAAGCTTCTCTGTGGCAGATACTCACTGGCGTCTCATCCGTTTCTCAAGGGGGGCTTTTGTGCTCACCTTCTGTTGGACATTCTTTGTGGTCTTTTTCCACAAAGAATTCTTGTGGAAAGAATTCTTGTTCCAAGAACGCACACACACACACACACACACACACAAAAGGGCATTTAGAAGCAACCAACCCTAGGACATGATGGCCCTCAAGACCAGAAGAACTGGATGGTGCCTGGCTACCAATGCCAACCACTCAGGAAAGGATCAAATCTGGAGATCCTGGATAGAGTGGGAGGGAAAATGTGGAACAAAATCCAAAAACTCAATAATGACCAGAATTACTGATCAGATGAAATCTGGTGAGACTCCCAATACTATGGCCCTGAAATACATTCGGCACCTGGAATAAAGCTCACCTCCAGGGGCGTGCTCTCAGCCCAATACATTAACAAGATGTACATGCAGACCACTCAACCTAGGATGCCACACCCACACACTCAATGGTAATACATCCCTTAAAGCAATAGACCACGGAACACCAAAGGACCAACATTCAAACTGAGGAAATGCAGGACAAACAGAAGTGCCTAATTATAAGGGGCACAGGGGGAGTGTTGCAGGGTAGGGAGGGGGGAAGACTGGGTTGGGGTTGGGCATGGCGAATGGGGAATGAAACTAAATGTATGCGTGACTTTGAATGTAAAACAAGTTCTTAAAATAAAAATAAAAATAAAATGCACAAAGTTAAAAAAAAAAAAAAAAAAAAAAGAAAGAAAGGCTCCCCATGGGTTTACATTAAACATAAGATCAAGTCCCAAGTTCTTAGCACAGAATTCAAGACTATTGCCCTCAAGACTTGGGAAGGTTGCAGGGCCTGAGGGCCACCATTTGTACCTCATTGTTCCCTGTCCTTTGAAGGTACCTCCAGGTGCTCCATTGCTGCTCCCTGAAACGGGACCTGGAAATTCTGCCCTTCGGAGACATGACTGAGGTAGGTGGGAGCTGAGCAGTGCTGGTGCTTTTCTATTCTGGCTTCTTAGGCTCCAAGGATCTCTCTGCCTCTCAGGGTAGGTAGAGAAGGGACCTCAGCCCTTCCTCCTGAGGCAGCCTAAATATCCCCTGCAGCTGCAGCCTCAAAGTCAAGAGCAAAGACACCCTCTCTGAGGGAGGTTCAGGCTCTTCTTACAGTGGGAACTGAAGAAGAAAGATTCCATCTTAGCTCATAAGGTGGGGGTGACCTCAGGCTCCTCCTTCTGGAGAAGAGTGGAAACCCTGTGAACACGCGAAACCCTTCCACCCAACCCACCCACTCTGTCTCCACTCTGGCCAGCATTGAACCTCTCAGTTTATCTCACCCATAATTTCTGACTATTACATTTTCCAGATCATTCACTATCTTTCACATCTATTGAAACCAAAACCAAACTCACTGCCATTGAGTTGATTCCGACTCATAGCGACCCCCATTGGGTTTCGGGGTGTGTGTGTGTGTAAATCTTTATGGAAGTAGATTGCCCAGTCTTCTTTCTACAGAGTGGCTGGTGGGTTTGAACTATCAGCCTTCTGGTTAGCAGTCAAATGCCTTAGGCACTGTGTCACCAAAGCTCTTTTTCATATCTACAAGGAAAAAAAAAATTCCAAAGTCACTGCCATCCAGTCAGTTCCTACTTGTGGTGACCCCTCCTTGGGCTTCCCAGGCAGTATCTCTACAGAAGTAGATTGCCCAGTCTAGCCACCTTTAATCTCCTAAGACTCCATAAAAGAAACAGCAATATTATTATCTCTATTTTATAATCAAGAATGACTACATCTATTGAGCACTTACTATATGCAAAGTGCTATCCTAGCAACTGGAATGTGGTATAATATGAAAGCCTCACAATAACCACAGTTAATAACCACAATAACCTAGGAGGTAAATTCTTTTGTTATCCTTAGTTTAAAGAAGGAATTGTAAATCCTTGAGGGCAGGGAGCACAATTGTCTTCAATATGAAGAACAAGAGCTCATCTGTAACATGGCATTGGGTAGCTAAAGTGCTTTGAATAGTGCACATAAAGCATTATCTATTGTTCTGAGGACATAATAGGCATTTACTAGTATTCACTGAATGAATGGGAAAACTGGGCCTTGACCAGATTAAGCAGATTTTCCAACTCACACCATGGTGAACAGTGATAAGAGGTCATCCTGCTACCTCTGCTTCTTCTATCCAGAGACATAGAGTTCAGGGCCAAGCAGGGACTAGAACTTAGACCATAGCTAGCTTCCTTGTCCTCAGAGCCTGGCTAAAGGATGGCCAGCCACCAACTGCCTGGAGTACTAGTCTTCAAGAGGAGCCAGAACTTCATGCACAGTAACTCAGGTCTCCACCCTCAGCTCCTGACAAAGCAGATGCCATGTTAAATAACCCTGCTCATGACAGCAATAGGGAAACAACCCCTCAGTCTTTGCAGATCTCTCTCTGCTGAGTAGTTGACTGTACATGGTACAAATAGCTGCAGATGACACTCCTAACTCAGGCTGACAGGCCCTTAAGTTGACAGTTGCAGTCAACTGAGATTTGAAACCTGAAGATATAAGATGGTGCTGTTTCCTGGAAATGAATTATTTATTTTATTATCTAATTTTTTGGTGATTGAATATGCCTCCCGAGAATTGGACATTTTAGAAAAATGATATCTAATTATGAATTATACAGTTTAAATTAGTTGAAAATCACTTTCTATATCCTCTACTAAGCAACTGTTGAAAAATTTTTAGAATTTTTAGAATGTCACTAGCCATCCAGGAGTATGGGCATATCTGGGCCTGTCATGGAGAGGGTTTAGCCTGTCTCGTCTGTCCCCCAAAACACACCACCTCTGGGCACTCCCAGCTGGTGGTTATCTTCTGGACCCATGCCTTTTGTTTCCTGTTCACAGATTGGGGAGCGGGGTCTCAACCTTTCTGGGGGGCAGAAGCAGAGAATCAGCTTAGCTCGGGCTGTCTACTCCAATCGTGAGGTCTACCTGCTTGATGACCCTCTGTCAGCTGTGGACACCTGTGTGGGGAAGCACATCTTTGAGGACTGCATTAAGAAGACACTCCAGGGGAAGACCATTGTCCTGGTGACCCACCAGCTACAGGTAACTGCACCTGGAGGGTTTGGACCATGGTCAATGGGTAAAGTAGAACCTCAAGACTCTGCCATTTCAGAGTGTGATTCAGAAACAATGGCAGGGGTAGCTATCCCTTCATCTCAACCAGTTGACTTGGAGATGATTTCATAGCAACCTCACGAGTGTCAGAGTGAACAGTGCTCCACCGCATTTTCAATGGCTGACTTTTCAGAAGCAGATTGTCAATCCTTTCTCTAAGGTGCCTTTGGGTGGACTTGAACCAATAGCCTCTTGGTTAGCAGCTACTGTGCTAACTGTTTACATCTCCCAGGAACGCTTGAGCTCAGACATGTTGTTGTTAGTTGCTGTGGAGTCAATTTCAACCCATGGTGAGCCCATGTGTGCAGAGGAGAGCTGCTCCATTGAGTTTTCATGGCTGTTACCTTTAGGAAGCAGATTGCCAAACTTGTCTTTCAAGATGCCTCTGGGTGTGTTTAGACTGCCAGCTTTTTTGGCTAGTGGTGGAGTGTTTACCCATTTGCCTCACCCAGGCGCTCCTATCTCAGACTTGCTGTTATCAGGTACCTCATAGTGACCCTAAGTACCATTGTCTTACACTAACCTCACAATTGTGGCTGTGTTTGAGTTCTTTGTGGCAGCCACTGTGTCAGTCTATCTCTCCTGATAACATGTCCAAAGTATGTAAAATGAAATCTCACCATCCTTGCCTCTGAAGAGCACTCTGGCTCTACTTCTTCCAACAATGGTTTGTCCATTCTTTTTGGCAGTCCAGGGTGTATTCAATATTCTTCACCAACATCATAATCCAAAGGCATCAGTTCTTCTTCTTTGTTCCTTATTCATTGCCCAGTTTTCATCTGCATATGAGACAACTGAAAATATCATGGCTTAGGTCAGGCACATCTTAGTCTTCAAAGTGACATCTTAGCTTTTTAATACTTTACAGAGAATTTTTGCAGCAGCTTTGCCCAATGCACTATGTTGTTTGATTCTACTATTTTATCCTTCCAATGTGTTTTCTATCTCTGAAATTTTAGTGTTGTTTTCAGATGCTGTTTTTGTATGATTTCTAATTGTCAATTTTGTCATTTTGCTTTTGCATTTTTGTCTTTATTTCTTATAGAGTATGCTCTGTTTTCTCCTTGAATTTGTTTGTGGGTTTTTTGTTTTTTTTTTTTTAAATCTCAACAAACAATAAACTCACTGCCGTCGAGTTGGACCGACTCATAGCAACCCCTCCTTGGGTTTTCAAGGCAGTATCACTACAGAAGTAGATTGCCCCATCTTCCTTCCGAGGAGTGGCTGGTGGGTTTGAATCGCCAGCCTTCTGCTTAGCAGTCAGATGCCTTAGACACTACACACCAGAGCTCCCTTTTTTATTTTAGAGGGTCCTATATATAAATTTGTTGAATTCCTTAGCAGGTAGATCTATTACTTGTTCTTCCTTGGGGATATTTCCTTGTTCTATTTTGTTCACTTGTTGTGCCATTGTGCTCTGTTTCTTTGTTTGATTTTGGGTTGCCTGTTGTTTTCCAAGATAATTTGGAGTTATTGCATTTATTTGTTGATTATGTGTTGATTCGTTTCACCCTGAGTTTTTCTTTTGCTTTGCTTTTTAGGCAACTGGCTTGTGGTCTATGCATGTGTGCTCCTCAGCAAAGGCTGAGGGTATGTGAGTGTGGTCCATGAAAGCCTCTCCTGCCAGTCACACAGATGCCAGTTGCACACTGTGTGATTCATAGGTGCATGACTTGGTCTGCTGGGGGTGTGGTATGATGGGTGGCTACTGGGGGTGGGGCAGTGGTGTGAATGAACTGGCTGGGTGAGGTGTGATAGAGGCTGTGTTTGTGGCCATCAAATGAGAGTGAGGGGGAGCCTCACCCCTGGCCATCAGGAAGGTGTGTGGGGAAAATCAGGAGAACACATGTGGGATGCTATTCACTGATGTGGGTCTGCTGCACTTCTGGGTGAATGCAGCCAAATATCAAGTTCTTCTCCTAACTCAATTGGGGGAACGGGCCTCTGGAAACCAGCATCTCCACTCACCACTGCACAGACCTCCCCTCTGTGTGGGCCTTCAACCCAAACAACTAGGGTCCACAACTGATAAATGGTTTCATGCATGTTTACTGTCTTCCTCCCTGATCTGTGGTTGCCCACGCCACTGGAATTCTTGCCCACTTTCCTCTCTTAGATCTAGTTCATACTCTGTTCATCTTGCTTCCTTCCAGATTTGTTTACACTGTGTCTCTGTCTTGAAGGGGATTCCGTGAAGTGGATGTCTCCTCACCTGTGTCTCAAAAGGCCACGCATGCTGTGTTGAGCCCTCACTCCGTCTCTCTCTGCAATCACTGTGTTCATTCTGTTTCTTTTCCCAATTGGTGTTTCATCCAATTCTTTATCCTTTCATTTGATAACTCAGAGTTTCAATATTATCATCTGTTTCTGTTTCAGTTGGTTTTTCAAGTCTTTGTTGTAGAGGGACTTGGTGGAATCATCAGGATGCCATCTTGTCCTCCCTGAATATCTTTTCATATGCTTACTGAAGATCTTACTTCTTTGGATTCTTTAGTATTTAGAGTTTTGTGACCAGATCATTTTGCTAGAAAATGGAAAAATCTGTGAAGCTGGAACTCACAATGAATTAGTACAGAAAAAGGGAAAATATGCCCAACTCATCCAGAAGAAGAATGAGGAAACCACACAGGTAATTTCCATCCCCCACTCCTCAGTCCCCATGGGGAGGGATGTCTTTGCATTCACAGCATGTGCTTTCTCCCCAGAATCTGTTGGAGGACACAGCAAGGACAATAGAGAAGCCTTGGGTAGAAGATCAAGCTCTGGCTACCTCCCAGGAAGAGCCTCTCAATGACAATGCTGGTAATGATACTGGGAAGTCAAGTAGGAATGTCTGCATACCTGCCTGGGCCCTCCAGAGGTCTGGCATTTCTTCCTCAACCCAAGACTATGCCACATCCCTTACTGTCTGGGATCCTAGACATTTGCACACACAGGTTACAGATTCAAGTAGTGGAGGGCCATTGGGGTACAGGTAGCAGTGGTCAGGAGGCCTCAAGAACCTAAGAAGTGGGTGTTGCAGGGGGTACAGGTGATGGTGTGAAGAGGCACGGTGAGGTGTGTGGGTCTTTGCCCTAAGGAGAGCCTATCTAAGACTTTGTGAGGCATTTGGATATTCATTCATCACACACTTGTTGAGAGCAAAGGTACTGGAGATCAGAAATGAATTGAGTCACGTTCTTGACATCTTGAACAGTTCATGGCCTTGCCCTTCACTGAGCCAAAGTAGTAGAATGGAAAGACTTCCATTTTTAAAGTCAGACAGTTCTGGATTTGAATCCCAGCTCTGCTGCTTACAAGGCTGTGATCTTCATCAAGTAACTAAATCTCTGTGAGCCATCGTTGGCATTAAGAACTAAAATATGGGCAGCCCCAGCACAATGCCTGGCACATGAATTGTATGCAAAAGAGTTCTTTAGGTGAAGAAATCTGTATGGGGTAGTATAATCAGAAAAATACTTCATTGGCAGAGTGAAAGAAAAAGTTGGAGAACAAGGTCTTAGCAACTCAGGGTAGCAGGAACTGATGCAGAGTCATTTTGAAGAATGTTTTCCATCCTAGTGTAAGTTCCCTCAAGATTCATTGCAGGAAGAGAGCCAGCACCTAATTGGCCTGTATGAATCCTGTGCTCACTCCTCCGCCAAAGGATGGTGAGGCATCTTGATTGACATTCCTCCCAAGACTGAGCCTAATGGAGGAAGAGTGGTCCTCCAAGTAAATATTATGGCGTTTTTATTAAAAGAACGGACAATGTCAGGCATTAACAACAGACATCCACTGCCACACTGTTTTTTGTTATTGTTATTTTTTGTAATATTTACTGGTTTCTCCAGGTACTAGTCTCAGTACCCTGCTCTAGGCCAAGGGTCTGCCTGGGCTGATGTCACAGCTTTTTGCTGAGGTGTTGTCTCAGAAGTATATTATCTTTCACCGGATGCAAAGCATCTTGGTGACTGTCTCAGCTGTCATTTTTCAGATGGGGAAACTGGGAGATTAAGTGATTTGTATGAGATTGCCTAGTGAGTTAGTCACGGTGACAATTCTGGAACCCAGGCTTTCTTGTCCCAGTCTTCTTTCTCTGCTGCTGCCTCTTTCTGTCATCAAGCACTTGGGAACCCCAGCCCAACTAAGATTTATTGAATGGCTTTGGAGTCAAAGGTTATCTTCAGCAGGGTCTTCCTGTGGAAAACCCACTGGTTAGGATCAGGCTTGGTGGACAGTGCAGCTGGAAGGTGAGGAAGCTGGTAAAAGGCCAAAGCCAGGGGCAGAAGGCTTTGCCAGGACTCTCTTTGATCCCCAGCAAAGATATAGGTGGTTGGGTGGCATAACCATCTTGTTCTTCTTTTACCCTGATTCAGTGCTGGAGAATCATCTCACACAAAAGGAAGAGATGGAAAAAGGTTCCCTGAAATGGCGTGTCTACCACTGTTACATCCAGGCTGCTGGAGGTACAGTCTGTCAGTTGCCCATGCCAGGCTGGGAGATCTGTCAGACCAGCCCTGTTCCGGAAGCTGGGTCAGCCTTAGCAGGCAGCATTTTGGTCTGGTTATGCCCATGAGATCACATGAAGTAGAGATGTACAAAAGAGTCATGCCATTCATGGGGTTAATTTACACAACCCCAACCATACTCAATAACTTTACCATCAGAGTCAATTCTGAAAACTGTGCTTTCATGTGTACTATTTATTTCAATGTTTTTGAAACTGTGGATATTGAGACATTTAGTGGGTTGTGAAATCAGTTGAGTGGCTTGTGAGTAGCACTCAGAAAAATACATACACTAGAATAGAATACATCAACATGTGTATTAGGTGCAATTTAAAATATATTTCTTAAGAAAGATGGCAATTAGAAGTTTCAAAGCTGCTGCCTTATTAGATGATGTACATTACTACATGCACTGGGAGACCCTCTGGTGGTGTTGTCCCTACAGAATTTGACTGCTAACCAGAAGGCTAGTGGTTCAAACCCACCAGCCACTCCTCGGAAGGAATATTGGGCAATCTACTTCTGTAGAGATACTGCCTCTGAAACCCAAGGAGGGGTTGCTATGAGTCGAATTGACTCGACAGCAGTATAAGTTCATACACATGACTGTACAATGCTGTAAGTACAAAACCAGGTATATGGTATTGTACTTTTGGAAAGATTTAAGAGATTTTTTAGAGTAATTTTGACTCCATGGCAATTTTTACTATTCATTGATTTTGAAATCTAACTTTGTGTAAGGTATGTCTCCTCTCCACCCATCTGAGGAGGAAGAGGTAGCTGTGTACCAGGTTACTACCTCCAGCCTTCCAATATGGACATCTCTGTAGGGCCTAACATAGGACTTGGCTAGGGTAGAAGAACATTAAATATTTGTGAAATGCATGAATTAATCAAGCAACCAATTGACATATATTTACAAAGGACCTACTAAGTGCCAGGCACCACACCAAACTCTGGAGAGGATGAGGTATAAGTTTTCTAAGAACCAGGCCTATAATCAAGCTGGAGAGCTAGGATAGTTACATTAACCAGATAGAGCGATCTTTGTGGCCAGGCATAGTCTTAGATGTCATCAAACAAGAAGTGGCTCTTGAGTGGCTCCTTAAAGGAAGGTGAGAATTCTAGAATAGTAATTTGGTCATGGAACACAGATTGTATACTTGGGTGTAGTGTTGGGGCAAGAGGCAGGTACTAACATGGGTAAAGAACACTGGGTTTTTACACCCTTGACTATATGACTCAGATAAACCAGGGTTAGAATCCCAGCTCTATCACTCACCAGCTATGTGTCTCTATTCCCATGTCAATACGGATAGGAGTTCTTAACTCAGAAATAATGGATATGGAGGTATGTTTAGCATCACATCTAGCACATGGCAGGCACAGAATACATGGCAATTATTTTAAAAACTGAACCCTCAGGTCCTGCATAAGAGGAATTAGCATCTCTGGAATATTGCTTATGTGCTAGGCACTGGGCTGGGTGTTTGACACATGTTATCCCCTGTCATCTTCAGAGCAGCCCTGGGAGGCTGGCCTGTCCATAATCATTTCAAAGGTAAGGAAGTGGAATGCCATTGACATTTGATACCTTGCTGAGAGCCACACAGTTTGAAAGTCACAGAGGCAAGATTTTAACCCAGGACTCTCTGACTTTTGACCAGCTTTTCCCAGTCTTCACGGTGTCCAAAATGGATGAAGATCAAAGTTTTCCAAGGATTCAGGATCAAGGATGGCTGAGCAGCCTTGTCAATCATTGTCTCACCTCTTGCAGTGGCCCCAGATATCACTCAGCATCACCTCCTTCTCCATTCCCAGGTTACATGGTCTGCATCATGCTTTGCCTTCTCATGGTGGTGAACATATTCCTCATGACCTTCAACTTGTGGTGGTTGAGTTATTGGTTGGAGCAGGGCTCAGGGGTGAGTGCCATGTTGGGGGTGGGGTACGTTTCTGTGAGCTTGCATGGCGTTGGATGGTTTCTTGTTTCCCGGGGTTCTTCCTATCTGCTGCCCACAAGGGTCAGAGCATGGGTTAGGGACCCACGTGACAAGTCTAGTACTTGCCATTGCTGAGTTGGCAAAAGATGCTCCAAAGGGAACCTCTGGGAGCCAGGACACTAGGGTTCCTTCTGGATTTTAGCCTCCTGTTTAAAGAATACCAAAAGCTCAAATTCACTGCTGTCAAGTTGGATCTGACTCATAGCAACCTCTCCTTGGGTTTCCAAGGCAGTATCACTATGGAAGTAGATTGCCCAATCTTCCTTCTGAGGAGCGGCTGGTGGGTTTGAACACCAGCCTTCTGGTTGGCAGTCAAATGTCTTAGGCACTATGCCACCAGAGTTTAAAGAATAGCTAGTCACCTGTTCAGTCTAGTTAACCAAAAACCCAAAACTCATTGCCATCAAGTTGATTCCAACTCATAGCTAACCTCATTGGATTTCCGAGATGGTAAATCTTTATGGAAGTAGATTGCCCCATATTCCTTCTGCAGAGCAAGTGCTGGGTTTGAACCACCAACCTTCTGGTTAGCAGTCAAATGCCATAGGCACCAAGTCACCAGAGCTCTTTTTAGTCTAGTTAGGAGGCACCCAAAAGGTTTCTGTCCCCAAACAGGCCTCTAAGAATGCTTTACTTTCCATCTTATTGACTTTATCCCTTTGGCTCCAGCTTTGCCTCTTCACTATGTTTTGTTTAAAATATACCCCTGTACTCCTGGGGATGGGGACTGGAGGCTACTAAGTGCTAGGCTATTTCATTTCTTTTCTCAACCACATTCTGAGGTAAGTATCACTCACTGTCTCATTTTCCATATAAGGAAACTGTCCCTAGAGAGGATAATGCATCTTTCTGAGTATTGTAGTTACTCAGAAATGAAGGAGCCAGGACTTGAACTTAGTACTCTGAATCTAAGCTTTTCCCAAGTCCCCCACTTAGTTAACTTTTTGAGTCTTATATCAGGCAGGATTTTCTCTGAAAATCAGAGAGAATCTAAGTATGTAGAGCTGGAAAAAAAGTTTCTGTAGGGAACTAGAGGGTTAAACATCATCATTGGAAGGGCTGGAGAGAAGGCAGGCAGCCACCAGTGACCTTAGCAACAGGCAGCACTGAAGTGGATGTTTCTCAGAAGGATAACTCCATGTCCCATGCGCCTGCTCATAGTTGACACCAAAGTATAATGGCTTCTCCTTTTCTATGTTAGGAATTTCCTGTGAATGCCTTTCCTTGGAGGAATCTAACCTAGCATCTAGTTCCCAAGCTTCTGCCTGCATCACAGTGGAGAAAGTAGACGAGGGGCAGGGATGATGATGGATGAGCACTGAACGCAAGCTTCTGACATAAACCAGAACCAAACCACTTGCTCTCAAGTCAATTCTGACTCATGGCAACCTCGTGTGCAGAGTAGAACCACTCCATAGGGTTGGTAGGGATGTGACCTTTTGAAAGCAGATGACCAGGCCTTTCTTTCAAGGTTCCTTTGGGTGGGTTTGAACCTCCAGCTTTTTGGTTAGTAGCCAAGCGTTTAACCATTTGTGCCATCCAAAGACTCTCTCTAACCTCACAGAAGGAATTAACTCATCCAGTCATTTTCTACTGTGTTAGGAGAAGCAGCATTAGAATGCAATTTGCCTTGGGGCAAAGATCCATTAAAGAGGGAGGAACAGAAGTTATAATGGTATCAGTGCTGAATATTGGGTGGAGTGACCACAGAGTGGAGGGAAACATGCTGGGTATTGGTGAGGGTTACCAGGGAGACAACCCCATTAAACTGATGTTATTCGGGGGATAGATGTTAGTGGGTGCCATCGAGTTGATTCCAACTCAGTGAGTCCATGTAACAGAGTAGAATTGCCCCATAGGGTAATTGCCCCATAATCTTTATGTAAGTAGATGATCAGGTAGTTCTCCCAAAGAGCTGTTGCGAACGTTGAACCACCAACCTTTCAGTTAGCAGCCAAGTGCTTGACTATTGTGCCATCAGGGATCTTAAGGGAATACATAACCAAAAAACCAAACCTATTCATTGTGTTTGATTCAAGTTGATGCTGACTCATAGTGACCCTATAGAACAGAGTAGAACTGCCCTAAATTATTTCTAAGGCTATAAATCTCTATAGAAGCAGACTGCCACATCATTCTCCCATGGTGTGGTTGCTGGGTTCAAACCACCAACCCTTTGATGAGCAGCTGAGTGCTTTAACCACTGCACCATAGGGGCTTATTGGGGGATAGATAATGAGGGTCTAACCCAGAGCTGCAGCAGTGGGAATGCAGAAGGGAAAGTAGAAAAAGCACAGAACAGGGAGGTTTTAGCATATAGCTTTTAGCACATAGTTTCGTGCTGTACCAGCCACTGAATCTTACGTGGCCCCAGGAAGAAGGATTTTTCTTCCCATTGGATTTCACCCTAGACTCATGCTATCTGACTCCTTGTTCTTTCTTGAAGACCAACAGCAGCCAAGACAGCAACAGGACCAATGCAGACCCCGGTGACATGCTGGACAATCCACAGCTGCCCTTTTACCAGCTGGTGTATGGCCTCAGTGCCCTGTTGCAATGCTGCATGGTGTTCTGTTCCTCAGGAGCTTTTACCAAGGTCATGAGGAAGGCGTCTACAGTCCTGCACAACAAACTCTTCAGCAAGGTGAGCTGGGGGTAGCCACAGGCTAAACCCTGACCTTGTCTAACTTTTTAAATTATTATTATTATTGTCCTACAAATATATGCGGGAACTCTGATGGCATAGTGCCTGAGGCATTTATTTGACTGCTAACCAGAAGGCTGATGGTTCAAACCCACCAGCCACTCCTCAGAAGGAAGATTGGGCAATCTAGTTCTATAGCGATACTGCCTCGGAAACCCAAGGAGGGGTCGCTATAACAAAATATTTGCCAGTTCAACAATTTTTACTTGTATAATTCAGTGATATTGTATAATTTGTGTTGTGCAATCATTATCACTATCCTTTTCCAAATTATTTATTTCACCATTGTTAACATGATTTCTATGCCCCCTAAACAGTAATTCCCTCTCTCCCCTCCCCTCTCATCTCTGGTGAGCACTAATAACTTTTGGTTTCTCTGTTTGGTTATATCATGTAAGTGAGATCATACAGTATTTGTCCTTTTGTGACAGACTTAGTTCACTTAGCACAATGCTTTCAAGTTTCACCCATATCATAGGATGTATATACTACAATTTGTTTATCCATCTGTCTGTTGATGGGCATTTAGGATGCTCTAGCCTTTTGGCTATTATGAATAGTGCTGCAATGAACATTGGTGTACCTAGCCTAACTTTTTTTCAAGTGCCTTCACTGGGTCACTAAGTGGGTAGAGAGGAGGCCAGAAAAAGAGAAGGATGCAAGGAAGCTCTCCTGCTGCTGGAAGTACGATTCTAAGAGTTCAGCGCCCCTTAATAGAGAGCCAGTGGTCACATCAATGCTGGCCTCTACTGATTGAGCACTGTCACTTACAGAGTGCTTATAGTCACCCCAAGTTCCCTTTGAAGTGGGTATGACTATTCCCATTTTACATGAGAAAACAGAAGCCCAAAGATGTTCAGAATTTTGCCCACACGTGTCATGGTTAGAATGTCAAATTGTCTATGGCATCACATTGCCTCTCAGAAATGTCATTCCTCTCTCTCACTTACCAGATATTAATTGAATACTTACAGTGTGCCAGGCTCTGTGCTGGACATTGGGCTTACAGTAATGAATAAACATGCAGATATGGTTTCTGCTATCATGGGCTTATAGTCCAATGTGAGAAACAGACTAGAAAACAGGTTGTGGTCAAACGGTGTGCAAGTTTAACATGAGGTGGAACACAGAGCCGTGTGAACAGAAGAGAAGAGCTACCTACTCTGACTTAGGGGCAGTAGAGGAGAGGGGGAGAGTCCTAGAAGGCTTCTTGGAAAGAGTGACCTCTTGGAAAAGACTTGGACCAGTTGGATTTAGCCAGCCCAAGATGGGGAGGCTGGAGGCGAACAAAAGCAGAGCATTTCTTGGGAACTGAACAGAGTTCAGGAAGGTTGGAGCTTGGAGGTGTGGAGTAGGATTCTGAGAGAGGTTCTTGGGAGATGAGGAGGGGATACTTCATTCCTCCTAGACTGAATGCAAAGTGTGCTGCCCCTTAATGGAGTTCCAATTTTGGAAGGGTGACATGGAGGCTTTTCCCCACATATCAGACAAAGCAGTTGGCTTGGTGGAGCCAGAAGGCAGAAGAAAATTCTTCCTGGTGCCTGGTACTCTGCTAGTCCCTGACAGCTGCACCGACGAGGTGTTCTCTAAGGTTCTTTTGCTTCCAAACTCCATGATTGTAGACATATCCAGGGCCCAGGTCTCAAAGTGATTTTTCACCTTAAGAAATATTCACATGCCTTCCTGTTAGAAAACATATTTCATATTGAAAATATTTTCCTTTTCCCATTCCTTTCAAGGCTTTATTGATTTTAAACGTGCCTTTGTAATTTTAAACAATCACAAGTCAAGGAAATATCTCTGAGAAAATGGACTTAACTGCAAAAATAACAAGCTAAACAAAACAGAACAAAAACCCTGAATTACGTAGAAGACAATCAGAAGTGCTTTTCTCTGTATCCCTTCATCCCCAATTCTGAGTGACAGCGGCCTCTTGCAAAAACTGCTTACTCACGCCACAGCTGCACAGCTGCACAGCTAAACTGAGTTCAGTTGCTACTGCCCCCACTCTCTGGCCTTCCTCTGGCCCCACAAGTGCTCGGAGTCCTCTAGGGAGTGATTATTTGGCCCTTTGAAGTCTCATGATGATTGAGACAATTCTGACCGCTTTAACTCAAGTATTTAACAAAAGATCCTGGAGATAAAAGACGTTTTAGAGGCAGAATAAAGCAAGGAAGCTCAAGGCCAAGGAAGCTCGCCCCTCTCTCCCTTACTTAGCAAGCAAAGAGGAATGTGAGCTACACTTGGTCAGCAGTATCCAGGCATTTGCAGTGGGAGTTTCATTAAGGGATATTTCATGGGGCAAATAATTACTAGTTTTCCACTTGATACTGAGTTAATTCCAACTCCTGGGGAACCCATGTGTGTCAGAGTAGAACTCTTCTTGCTGGGTTTTCAGTGGCTGAGGTTTTGGAAGTAGATCACCAGGCCTTTCTTCTCAGGTGCTTCTGGATGAACTTGAACCTCCAATCTTTCATTAGCAGCTGAGCATGTTAACCATTTGTCCACCCAGGAAGTATACGATCATTAATAGTCAACACAGCCCCGCCCACCATCCTTCCCTCCCTCCTTCCCCCTTCCTTTAGTTGTGGCCTTAATACATATTATTATTAACTTCTATTCATTTCTTTTGTGTGTGTGTTACAGCTTGAGAAATTCAAGGGGAAATGGGCTTTATGATCTTTAGGAAATGGCTGCAGTGAAGAGGGTGGCTGTGCTGGGGGTTGGGGAGTACCCGGGAGGCCCATTCCAGTCACGACTTTGCCATTAACTACTTGGATGACCTTGAGCAGGTCACTAAGCCATGTCTGCTTCTCTGGGCTTCAGCTTCCTCATTTATAAAATGAAAGTGCTGAACAAGATATTTTGTCACAGCTCTTTCAATTTGAAATGTTCTTTCATCTTCAGTGGGCCTCATGTCCACTGGGGTATCACCTTCAAAGGGACAAAAAACAAAGAAACAAACAAAAAACCCCAAACCTGTTGCTGTCAACAAGCCAATTCTGACTCATGATGACCCCATGTGTTACAGAGTAGAACTGCTTCATAGGGTTCTCTAGGTTGTAATCTTAATTAAAGCAAATTGCCAGGTTTTTCTTCCATGGTACTGCTGAGTGGGTTTGAACTGCCTACCTTTAGGAGCTCTGGTAGCATAGTGCCTAAAGGCACTTGACTGCTAACCAGAAGGCTTGCAGTTCAAACCCACCAGCCACTCCTCCGAAGGAAGATGGGGCAATCTACTTCTATAGTGATACCGCCTCAGATACCCAAGGAGGGGTTGCTATGAGTCGGGTCCGACTCCACGGCACATAACAACAACAACAATAACCTTTAGGTTAGTAGTCGAGCACAAACTGTGCCACCTAGGGACCTTTCAAAGGGACAGTTGGCCCAAGAGTCTGAGTCTTATGTAGTTGCCATGGAATTGCTGCTACTAATTGTTGGCAACCTTGAGTGAAAATGGGCCTATACGTAGACAATAATAAGAGCTGACATATTGGTGAAATGTTACCAGAGGTTAGGTACTGCTCTAAACATGTTCACTGTACTGTCTCTGTCTCTCCTTTTTATTGTGGTATATACAACACAAGAGTTGCCATTTTAACCATTTTATATATATAAAAAAAAATTATTGTGATTTGGGTGAAAGTTTACAAGCAAATTTAATTTCCATACAGCAGTTCACATACACTCTGTCTCATGACGCTGACTGCAATTTCCCACAATGCAACAGCTTTCTTCCCACTTCCTTCCTATAGTTACCTCTTCTCTGTGTCCTTCCCTCCCATGCACTCCTGTCCCCCAGCTGTCTCCCTCTGCATACACAGCCCTTCTATTCTCCCATGGTTGATGTCTCCAAGCAGTGTATCTACCTAATGTAAATGTTCAGCTCATATGCCTGTCTTTTGTTTGGCTGGAAGCCACAGGAGTGGGTTCAATTCCAGACCTGTAGGGCAGCTAGGGCCCTTAGTCTCAGGGGTTCCACCAGCACCATCAGACCAGCAAACCTGGGCCCCCTTCTTTTTTTTTTTTATGATTTTGAGTTTTGTTTCACATGTTTCTCCCACTCTATCCAGGATCTCCTACATAGTTTCCCTCCCAAGTGGTTGGCAGTGGTAGTCAGACACCATCTAGTTCTTCTTGTCTCATAGTCATGTAGGCTGAGAATCTCATGGTATACCAGTCCCTTGGACTAATTATTTCATGTACCTTTGGTTATCTTCATTCTTCTTTGCTCTGGATGAGGAAAGACCCATTGTTCCATCTAGATGGCCGCTTGCAAGCTTTTAAGATTCCAGTCACTACTCACCAAAGTAGGACATGGAACAATGTTTTTGAGTAGTATGTTATGTCAATTGAGCTTGATGTCCCCTGCAAGCATGCATTATAACCATTTTAAAGTGTACAATCTAGTGGCATTAATCACACTCACAACGTGGTGAAACCATCACCACTATTTGTTTCCAAACTTCTCTTTAACTGAACTTGGAGGACATTAGGCTGAGTGAAATCCATATTGTAAAAAGTCAAGGAAAGGTTATATATAGAAGGAAACTTTCTTTGTTGGTTACCCGGGATGGGAGCATAAGGGTGAGAAAATTTCTAGGTAAGTTAAAAAAATAGATAGATAGATAGATATCCAAAGATTATCAGTGGTTACCAGGGGTAAGAGGGAGGGGGAGGGAGAAAGCTTTTGCTTGGAGGGGCATCACGTTTATGCTAATAGGTGGTAGAATGTTTTGGGAAAGGATAGCAATAATGGTGACACAACATGAAAAATGCACTCAATGCCCCTGAGCTGTAAATGTGGAAGTGTTATGCTGGGGAATGTCTTGTGTATGTTTTCACGATGATAAAAGTTAAAAAAAAAAAAAAAATAGAAAAGGAATAGCAAAGTATACAAGAAGACAATTCTGGCAGCAACAGCCTTGAGAAAAAACAAAATAAAACAAAACTATTCATCAGCCCCCAAATGGGAAATTCTGCATCCTTTATTCCTCTTTTTAAAATAACAGCTCTATTGAGGTATAATGCACATATAATAAAATTAATACTTTTAAATTATCAAATTCAGAGGTTTTTAGTATATATTTACAGAGTTATGCAACTCTCACCAAAACATCGGCAGCACTGTTATTATCGTTTTTCTGTTTGTTTGTTTTCCATATAGATACTTCTATTGAGCCTTAGACAGGATAAAGACAAAACAATCATCCAAGATGGAGGATACCATCAGTATGTACACAATACAGAAAGCTGAATGGAGTCTGCATTGTTATTGTCTTGGTTTCACAATTTAGGACACTGAGACTCAGAGGAGTTGAGTAATTTGCTTAAGGTCACACAGCAGTAGGAGGAGGAGTTGGGCAGAAATGGAGACCAGGCAGACTGACTCAGGAGTCCATGATCTAAACCACTGCTCTATACTACTTCGCTCAACGCTCCTCAGGTTTCCTTCTCCACCACTTCAGAGCTTAAAAGTAACTAGTATCTCCATCAATTTTCATGCAATGCCTGCAGCTACTCATGGTCTGGATTAATTTTGTCCCACAGGTTTTCTGCTACCCCATGAGTTTCTTTGACACAACCCCAGTGGGTCGACTCTTGAACTGCTTTGCGGGAGATTTGGACGAACTGGACCAGATGTTACCCATAGTTACTGAAAAGTTCCTGTTGTTGTTTTTGTTGGTGATCTCCATCATATTGATAATCAGTGTTCTGTCTCCATATATCCTAATAATGGGAGCCATACTGGTCATTATCAGCCTTGTTTTTTATACGTGAGTGGGTTCCTTTTGTTTGTGAGTGGGGTTTGTGACTTAGGGTATGAGGCTGGGACCAACCCAGCATTGGATAGTCCCAGGAATGAGTGAATGGTCCACGTCACTCACCCTCATTCTTGATGCAGGATGACCAAAAGAGCCATCAACGTGTTCAAGAGATTGGAGAACTGCAGCCGGTCTCCTTTATTCTCTCACATCATCACCTCTCTGCATGGCTTGAGCTCCATCCATGTCTATGGAAAAGCTGAAGACTTCATCAGCCAGTAAGTCCTTCTGTTTTCCATCTGAGGATGATGGGGTCTGTGGTGGTGGTGGTGGTGGGGAGCAAGAAGATACGAAACAATGATATTAGTCATTGCTAAATCTAAGTGGAGGACATAGAGATATTCATTAAACCAACCTTTTAATTTTTTATAGTTATAAAATTTTCATAATGAAAACTAGGAAAAAATAAGGGATGCTTCTAATTAGCTCACGGAAATAAAGAATCTGGAGGGAGGCCTCACTTCAGATAAGGGTTGATCCAGAGCCTCAGATAATGTCCCCAGGAGCTCTGTTGATCTCTGTTTCACTGCTATGCCTTCCATGGTGTTAGTTTCGTCCTCAGCACCTTGGAGACTCCACAGCAGCTCCAGGATCCCCTTATGACAGCAAAGTAGCTGCAGTCGATTCAGAACTCCTGCCATCCTACTGCAAAACCTCTTCCTTTCAGTCACTCACAAATCCTGGTAGTTATTGACTCTCATTGACCCAATTGGCCAACTTATCCACTCCTGAGCCAGCCATTGAGGCCAGGGAAAGAGCACGGGAACTCTGGATTAGACAGACATGTGTGGTCCTCAGATTGTGCTTTTTTTCCCCTCAGGTTTAAAAGGCTGACTGATACTCAGAATAACTACTTGCTGTTGTTTCTCTGTTCCGTGCGATGGGTAACATTGAGGATTGAGATTATGATCAATCTGTTGACGTTGATGATAGCCTTGTTTGTGGTTTTTGGCATTTCTTCCACCTCCTATTCCTATAAAGCCATGGCTATCAGCTTTGTCTTACAGGTGAGAGAAGGACCCTTACACAACCAGGGCTCTCCTGGGCTGTGTTAGCCCTGGCCTATGGCCTCTGGGCAGACTAGGAGTCCCTGGGACTTTGATTACACCTTGGGTGTTAGCCATCTTATGTGCTATGTGGCTAACTTTCTGAATGTTGCTTCTTTGCTCCATTTCCTGATGTCACCTCTGAACTGAGAAGTCTGCATTGAAAGGTACTTAATGAAACCATGGACCATTGAAATTGAAGGGGATCTCATAGACAACAGAGCCCAACTCTTGTGAAGATGGGAAACTGAGGCCGAAAGAGGGGAAAGAGTTGTCCAAATGGAAAGAGTGTTAGAAGCAGAGCCAGTATGAGAACACTGAATTGTTAGTTTCCTGGCTAGCGTCTTTTTATTTCACTGTTCATACCAATTTAGTTCTCAAAATTTGTGAATTACTGGGAAGGTTGTTAAGACTGTAAGTTTCCCTACAGCAGGAAATCTTTAATGTGGATAAGACTTAAAACAGCTTCCTTGACCCCATCCTTGGAGATGGATCCTGGGTCTATATGGGGCCCACAGGAGTACACACTTGGAGGAGCATTGCCATGGAGATTGTGGATCAAGTCCATTGCTACCAGAGCTCCTAAAGCACTAGGTAATCAAAATACTCCAATCAGAATGGCCCTATGGATATGTAAACATACAATCTCTCAACCATGCCATCAGCTGCTGTGGTTGAGAGATTACATATTTGTATATCCACAGGGCCATTCCCTACTACCTAGTAGTTTGTTATGTTTTGGTGACTTGTGTGTTGCTACAATACTGGTAGCTATGTCACTGGTAGGAGCTCTGGTAGCATAGTGCCTAAGGCACTTGACTGCTAACCAGAAGGCTGGTGGTTCAAACCCACCAGCCACTCCTCGGAAGGAAGGTTGGGCAATCCTACTTCCGTAGTGATACTGCCTCGGAAACCCAAGGAGGAGTCGCTATGAGTCAGGGCCGACTCGATGGCAAACAACAACAACAACAACATACTAAAAAGAAGTGGTCAACATTCAATCATTTCAGGAGATAGCATATGATCAAGAACCAATGGTATTGATGGAAGAGTCCAAGCTGCACTGAAAGCATTGGTGAAAAACAATGCTCCAGGAATTGAGAATACAATTGAGATGTTTCAACAAATAGATGCAGCAATGGAAGCACTCATTCATCTATGCCCATGTAACTTGCCCATGCTCCCACAGCTAAACAGAGACAGACCTCTTCTTAGTGTTCAATCTCTGTCTCTCTCTCTGTCTGTCTCTGTTTCTCTCCTTGTAAGTGTTCCTCCCTTTCATACACACACACACATGCACCACCTGCTATACCATAGTACAGAGTTATCCCAAGCCTCCCTGGACTCTGGGGGAGAGAAAACAGAAAGGAAGCAAACTGAGAATACTTGGAATAGAGCTGAGTGGAGTGGTGTCAGTGGGATCTTTGTCCAGAACTGCCCACTAACTGCTGCAGCGACACTCAGAAGCGCACTGAGGGGGCACAAAGGCATCTGCTCCATTCTCCTTAGAGAAGTGGTCTTGATTTGGGGATTGAGGGAAGGGCAATGAGTGGCTTTTAGGAGCATGAAGAGCCTGAATCCCCCAGCATTCTCTTGACCTCCTACTCCTCTTACTTCCAGCTGGCGTCCAACTTCCAGTACACTGCCCGGATTGGTTCAGAGACAGAGGCACACTTCATGGCTGCAGAAAGGATGTTGCAGTACATGAAGGTGGGGCGCAGGTCCGGGTCTGGGGTGGACAGCTCTGCAAGGCTCCACATGCAGTCATGTGGCACACCTTCTGGGGCCTCTGCACCCCCCTCTTCAGGTTCTTCCTTCCCATTTACCCTGGTCCTTTGTACACCTCCTCTCTGAGCTTTTCAGTACTATCGGCTTGCTTTGACTCTTACCCATCCCTCTTGCTGATGTAGGAGGAATAATCTGCCTGTTTTAAAATTAAAGGTTGCAGACCTTGCCCAAGAGTAGTAATAATAGTAAAATAGTTATTATTATTGGACAATAATAATTGCTACAATAATAGCTATAAACCAAAATCAAAACAACAAAAAACCTTGCTGTCCAATCAATTCTAACTGATGGTGACCCATGTGTGTGGAGTTAGCGACCCCATGTAGTGCTCCATGTAGTTTTCAAGGCGGTGCCCTTTCAAAGGGGATGACAAGACTTTTCTTCTGAGGTATCTCTGGCAGGGTGTGAGTTGCCAGTCTTTTGGTCATAGTTGAGTACTTAACTGTGTGTGCCACCCACGGACTCATGATAACAAGAACAACAATCATATTGTTATTGATTCTATTTATATCATAGATGTTAAGATTTTGGAGTCAGATTGCCTGAGTTCAAGTATAAGCTTTGCCACATGGATTAGGTGTGTAACCTTAGGCAAGTTATTCAACTTGTTTCCCATCCCTGAAATGGAAAGATAACAGTATCTACTTCATTGTGTTGCTTGACTAAATGATATACAATGTTAGGGGTTTACAGCAGTGTCTGGTCCACAGGAAACCTTCAGTAATTTTCACTCTTATGACTGAGCCCTTTCTATGTGCCAGGTACTGTGCTAAGCCCATGGAATCACAAAATAATTTTCTGAGGTCGATTGAATTATCATTCCCATTATCCAGATGAGGATAATAAGACTTGGGTAAGCTGAGCATCTTTCTTAAGATCACTCAGCCATGGAGTTGGCAAAGCCCTTTGCCCCTGAAATCAGGTTCCTGCTGTGTGAGAGGAGCGCTGATTTAACACCAAGTGATGCTGTTGTGACGTTGCACAGACAATGGAGAGCTGTGACTTGCAGACAAGCGTCCCTGATTCTTCTCCAGTGTTCTTTCCACCCAATGCATCCAACTACGCCCCATGTAAAGAGTAGTGGGAGCTCATCCACTCATAAGCTATTTGATCTTAAGCAATTTGTTGAGCCTATTTGAACCTCTATTTGCTCACCTGTGAAGTGAATCTCAAAATGCCTATAAGTAGGGTGAGGATAGAGAGAAAGAATCTGAGCAGTGGCTCTGAGCGATAAAATATACCCTCTTAGATGGGTTATCTCTGCTGCCCTCACTATCATTATTTTGGATTCTGTTTCTTTAGAGCCTCCCACAATTAAATTAGAAAAAAAAAAAAAAACCCTCTAAGTTATGAGGGGCTTAGCTATCAGGCTACTCATGCTTCTGGGGCAAAATTATGAGCGTTACAGGAGAGTAGGGGGATGTTCTGGAGCACAAGGACTTTTTGAGGTGTCTCTGGTCACAAAGCTGGGGGCTCTCCCATGGTGCTAGGCGGGGTGGGTGAGTCACGAACACGATACCTGAGCCAGTGGGTCAGTGGGGTGGACTGAGACTGATGACAACTACTGATTTCTTTTTCTTTCTTTAAAAATGAGATGAGTGTCCCTGAGTCTTCATTGGATGTGAAAAGTATGAGCTGTCTCCCCGGGTGGCCACAGCATGGGGAAATCATCTTCCAGGATTATCGCATGAAATACCGAGACAACACCCCTATTGTCCTCGATGGCATCAACCTGACGATTCGCAGCCAAGAAGTGGTGGGCATTGTGGGAAGGACAGGCTCTGGTGAGTTGAGCAGCTGGGCCATCCCTTGTCCTAGCCTCTGGCCTTTGGGTGCAGGATTTATTGGGGGGCATGTGTTCTCACTCTGTGCTGAGCCCTAGTGCTAGGGTGGTGAGCAAAACCCCAAGATTCTTCCTGCCATAGAAATCTAGTGGGGAGATAAACGTTAAGTCATCAAATAAAGAAAGAAATAAGATACTTACAGATTGCAGCGATGCCATGAAGAAAAGAAGCAGGGTGGTGTTATACTGAGTCATGGAGTTGGTGGGCTACTTGAGCTATGGTGGCCTGGGCTGTGAGGTGACGTTCAAACTGAGATGTGCAGAAAGACCCGAATTCAGGAGAGGAGCAATTTAGGTCAGGGGCAGGGCACTCATGTGGAGGCTCTGGCAGGGTGAGGGGCAGGGGACAAAGAATGAGATCCGGTCTTGCTTTTCCTTCCACCCTTTCCTTCCTTCCATTTGTAAATCTCTCTCATCAGCATCTTTGTCCCTCCTTATTCCCCTCTCCTTTCTCCCTTCCAACTTCTTTTCCTCTCTTCTTGTTCTATCACTTTTGGAAGGTTAGAACCAAGCACCATTACTCTCCCTCTTTGCATTGTTCAAAGACACTGCTCAGACATGATCAAGGACCTCTGGGTTGATATACCTACATTATCTATGAGTTGCATCCCCTCTGCCTTGAGAGAGTTGCCCCTCTAGGTGGCGCCCTGGATGACTCAAGCTTTCATGGGTCTGCACCTCCTCAGGCCCCTTGCTCTATCACAAGATAAAGAACCTCCAGATATAATCTATGTGCTCTTCTCTTGCTATTTCTCACCTGCCAGAGCTCTGGTGGCTCAGTGCCTAAGGCATGTGACTGCTAACCAGAAAGTTGGCAGTTCAAGCCCACCAGCCACTCAATAGAAGAAAGACAGGGCAATCTACTTCTGTAAAGATTTACTGCCTTGGAAACCCAGTGGGGGTCACAATGAGTTGGAATGGACTCAATCGCAGTGGGTTTGGATATGGGTTTAGTTGGTCCGAGAGGGCTGGAATCTCACATAAAGAAGCTAGTCCAATTGGCTGTATTCATTCAATAGATGTTTATTGAACACCTAATATATGTCAGACACAGGGAACATAAAGATTAACAAGACACATAACTTCTATCCTCATAGGGACTGAAACTCAAATGCCTTTGGGACCTGACTAATAACACAGATAAGTGAAATAGGTCTGGGGTATGATGAAGGGCTGGGTGGGAGGGCACTGTGACAAACGAGAGAATACTCACTGTCCCATCTGAATGTAGCAGCTACACTGAGCTCCAGCTGCTTGCCTGGGGGCTGAGGCCCAGTGTGGCCAGTTCCAGCGAGTTAAAGACAAGCATGAAATTCGAATTTTCTTCTGTACTATCTTTGGAATTTTTTATAATGGCAAGGAATTTAAAAATAGCAGTAACATTGTATGTATGAAACAAAACATTTATGTGGGCTGGATTTGATGCAGGGGCTCCATTTGTGATCTTTGATACAGGCTATAAGAAAATTGTTCATGGTTTTGGGCACCACTTACAGCAAAGAACCCAGTCTTCTTCTGTCGTCTCAGTGGTCAGAATGACAAAGAATGGACCATGAAAGGGGCTGGGTCTATTTTGAATGCCACGAGTGACTCGTGCTGCCCCTAGAGCACATTTAGGAAACTGAGGCTCATTTGTTTCTTGCCGGACAGGGAAGTCCTCCTTGGGAGTGGCTCTCTTCCGTCTGGTGGAGCCCACAGCAGGACGGATTCTCATCGATGGTGTGGACATCTGCAGCATTGGCCTGGAGGAGCTGCGGTCCAAGCTCTCAGTTATCCCACAAGATCCCGTCCTACTCTCTGGAACCATCAGGCAAGTGCTAGGCCAATGCTTGGTGGTTTAGTAGTAGAATTCTCACATTCCATGTGAGAGACCTGGGTTTGATTCTCAGCCAATGCACTTCACACCCACTTGCCACCTATCTGTCAGTGGATGTTTGTGTGTTGTTATGAACTGAAACAGGTTTCAGTGCAGCTACCAGACTGAAATGGACTAGCAAAACAGACCTGATGATCTACTTTCAAAAATCAGCCAATGAAAACTCTGCAGTTCACAATGGTCTGATCTACAACCAATCACTGAGATGGCATGGGACTGGGCAATGTTTAGTTCTGTTGAACATGGGTCACCATGAGTCAGGGGTGGACTCATTGATAGCTAATAACAAAGGCCAGAGGCCAGTCCAATGCAGAGGACTGACTCCAGGGAGGAGTTACAAGACCTGGATTCTAGCTGGGTTGGCTTTCATTAGCTGGGGTCCCCAGGCCAATGCCCTCATGTCTGGGTCTCAGATCTCTCCTTGGCAAATGGGGTCACTCTTGCCTATCTGGTCCACCTCACTGAAGTGTCCTTGAGGATTGAATGAAGCTCTGACATACACAAGAGCACTTGTCAACTATAATGTCCTAAAGAAAAGCAAGGCATGATTTTTTAAATACCTGATGGAACTGGTCAACTTTCAGTTCACTACTAAGCATTTGCACTGCAACTGACATATACTTTCATGTCTGGATGGGACTCACCCTATTCTTTCTACCCACTGGGTAAACACCATGGAGGAGCTTTAGGCTGGAGGTTCTTCACAGGGTCCACAGTCTGGGTAATGCAGAAGTGAGAAATGACCCAGGTGGTCCAGTCAGTGAAATGGACAGGGATGGAGCTTCCAGCTTCTTCACACAGTTTCCCTTTCCTTAGAGGATCTACTTAGTAGTTTTTTCCAGATTAGTGCTTCTACTTTGCATTTTGCTTTAGCTGTATAGGAACCTAAAGGCATGGAGACTGGGGAAGATGAGGAATCCACGATTTTTCTTTTTATTCTGCAACCAGCACCAGCAATATTTCCAAAACTTTTTCATCATCCCAATCAGAAACTCTGTATGCATTGAGCAATAACTCTTCATCCCCCTCTGGCCCAGCCCTTGGTGACCACTACCTGCTTTTTTTCTCTTTTCACTTGCCTATTCTAGATATCTCATATTTGTAGGATCATACAATAATTTTGTCTTTTTGTGTCTGACTCATTTCACTCAGATTAATGACTTTAAGGTTCATCCATGTTGCAGCATGTATCAGAACTTCATTTCACTTTCTGACTAATATTCCATTGTATGTAAATGCTGGACAATGAACAAGGAAGACTGAAGAAGAGTTGATGCTTTTGAGTTGTGGTGTTGGCAAAGAACCCTGAAAGTACCATGGACTGCCAAAAGAATGAACAAAAGTGTCCTGGAAGAAGTGCAGCCAGAATGCTCCTTGGAAGTGAGAATGGCTAGACTTCATCGGACCTACTTTGGTCATGTTGTCAGAAGGAACCATTCCCTCGAGAGGGATATTGTGCTTGGTAAAGTGGATGGTCAGTGAAGAAGGGGAAGGCCCTCAATGAGATGAATTGACACAGTGGCTACAACAATGGCCTCAGGTATAGCAAGGATTGTGAGGCTGGCACAGGACAGGACAGTGTTTCGTTCTGTTGCACACAGGGTGGCTGTGAATTGGAGCTGACTTGCTGGCACCTAACAACAATAACAGTATGTAAATATCTCAATTTGCTTATTCCTTCATCTGTTGATGGACACAGTTGTTTCAGTCTTTTGACTATTGTGAATAATGCTGCAATGAATATTGGTGTACAAGGTCTGTGGCAGTCCCTGTTTTCAATTCTCTTGGGTATATACTTAGGGGTAAAATTTCTGGGTCATATGGTAATGCTATGTTTAACTTTTTAAGGAACCGCCAAACTGTTTGCCATAGCACCTGTACTCTTTTACATTCTGATGAGCAATGGATGAGAGTTCAGTTTCTCCATACCTTTGCCAACACTTGTTATTTTTCTTTTCTTGTCTTTTTTTTTAAAAAAACTAATAGTCATGTTAGTGGCTGGGAAGTGGTATCTTATCGGGTTTTGATTTTCTGGTAGCATAGTGGCTAACTTTCAGTTCACTACTAAGCTGACGCAGAATCGGGCAGTGTTTTGTTCTGCTGTGCATGGGGTCACTATGAGTCGGAAACGACTCTACGGCACTTAACAACAACAACAACATAGTGGCTAAGGCACTTGACTGCTAACCAGAAGGCTGGAGGTTCAAACCCACCAGCCACTCCTCGGAGGAAGATAGGGCAATCTACTTCCATAGTGATATTGCCTCGGAAACCCAAGGAGGGGTTGCTATGAGTCAGGGCTGACTCGATGGCACACAACAATAAGGAACTCTGGTGGCATAGTGCCTAAAGTATTTGACTGCTAACCAGAAGGCTGGTGGTTCAAACCCACCAGTCACTCCTTAGAAGGAAGGTTGGGAAATCTACTTCCATAGCAATACTGCCTTGGAAACCCAAGGAGGGGTCAATATGGGTTGGATCCAACTTGACAGCAGTGAGTTTGGTTTTGGTTTAATGACTACTAATCCCTGTTGTTGTTGTTGTTGTTAAGTGCCGTCGAGGTGTTTCCGACTCATAGTGACCCCATGCACAGCAGAACAAAACACTGCCCGATCCCGCATCAGCCCCACAATCTCTGCTATACTTGAGCCCATCATCGCAGCCACC